GATCTGTGAGTTAGCCATGCCCTGACTTAGATCAGCCCAGAGGTTGTTTCAGGGTTTGATCTGTGAGTTAGCCATGCCCTGACTTAGATCAGCCCAGAGAATGTTCCAGGGTATCGATACCAACTTACCAACTGCTCCCGGTACTTGTCGAGCTCCCTGAGAGAAACGAATGTGTCTCTGTAACTAAAGAAAAAATATATATATTTGTTTACATTCGTAACCTCATAACATGCTTTTTGGAAACATAAAGTAAACTTAGATCAAACTTTCAAAGACAATTTATCCAACAAATTTATCCAAAGTATATTTTCTTTTTTCTTGTCTGCAAAAGAACGTACACATTCTCAGCATGTGATGATGGTTGACAAATTTATATGTGTAACCTCATAACTTGCTTTTTAGAAACATTAAGTAAGCTTAGATCAAACTTTCAAAGAAAATTTATCCAAAATAAACTTTTTTTTTTCCTTGTCTGCAAAAGAACGTACGCATTCTCAGCAAGTAATGATGGTTGACAAACTTATGTGTAACCTCATAACTTGCTTTTTAGAAACATAAAGTAAACTTAGATCAAACTTTCAAAGAAAATCTATCCAAAATTTTTTTCTTTTTTTTCTTGTCTGCAAAAGAACGTACACATTCTCAGCAAGTAATGATGGTTGACAAACTTATGTGTAGCCTCATAACTTGCTTCTTAGAAACATTAAGTAAACTTAGATCAAACTTTCAAAGAAAATCTTTCCAAAATATATTTGTTGACAAACTTACTTGACGATGATCTGACAGAGACGAGAACATGCCATGGCATTGTCTGCGAAAAACAGTCGATAGACGAACCCAGCAGAAGGAACAACGACGAATGGAACCTGGAATTCCGTGTGCAAGACTGAGGCCTGTAAACACCAGTATATGGTTTTTATTTTGACTATTGTTTAGGTTGAGGTTAGGAGAGATTTTTCAAAGCCTTGGAATCCGTTTGAATAACAATGAAAAGCCTTTTCAGTGTTACATGAAAGTCAGTACCATACGCTTTTTACAAAAACCCTATACTGGGAACCATTTCGTACCGTGTAAGCATAGTAAGTCAGTACAATACGTTTCCCACCCATACGAAAATCGCTCTACCTTGATTTAGACTACTACAGGGAGAAACCTTTGTAAGAAACTTTGTTAAAATATTGATAAGCATATCTAGTAGCACAGTTCAGAACGTGTTACCGTGAAGTAAATAACTGTTCTTACCAACTCAAAGAAGTCCAAAACACAATGTTGCAACAATGGATGGTCTTGCTCTTTCTGGAAAGCGGCAATCAAAACAATCTGTCAGTGAGAGTTCACTTAGGATCACTGTGGTGCTAGAAATGTCTCTTGGGCTTCCTGTGGTACTCACCTGTAAGCCCATGACGCATAATCGGTCTACAAACCGAATAAAGTCGTATATTGTTTCAAAAGGATCAAACGAAGTTAACTCCTCCTCAGCAAATATTGAGATACTATTAGAAGAAATAGGAATTGCATTAATTATTTTATTATCTTATTCGAACTGGTCGGAGACGAAAGCAAAGACAGTATTGGAAACAAAAATTGTGCGTCTCACTTGTGATCATGCGCAAATGTAAACGTAAACATATTTCGCTATTGTCGTCAAAAAAGCCTGCGTTTCTTTCATTTCGGCCAAGAAACGGCGACGCCTGCGACAAAGCAATGGGCGAATCGATCTGAGACTGTTTTCTAATTGGCTAATTTCTAACGAAGGAAATTAATTCTCGTACCCAGGCTCCTCGGGTAGGAACGAAGCCGAGGAGCTCTAGGTACTAGAATGAACTTGAACCAGAAAGACCTGGTTTTAGTTAGTAGATTCCTTTAGAGTCCTTTATTTCTTGTCAGGGACGGTTAGAAACGCGGGCTTTATTGAAGATCCATTTTTAGAATAAAATCTAGAACGTATCGAATCAGTTTGGGCTCCCTGTTGCGTATACCACAGGGATACCAACCACATACCTTGTCATATTAGTTCTGCTTGAGTTGGGAGTAGCTCGTTGTAGATCTTGGTATCTTGGAAGTTCGACTGCAGCAAAATTTCTTAAGAGGTTTGTGAAGCAGTACATGATTTGGCACTGAAATAGGTGTATCCCTTTCGTTAGTGTAAATACAAATGAACACAAACATTCAAAAATACGGCATTAAATGGACCTCGTATTTACCTTGGGCGTATAATATTTTCCCATTTCAGACCACGTGTTACTCTCTTGAGAACAAGATTCTGTATTTCAGTTGTATTCATATTCATGTGTCTTTTCGTGCGCAACCGTTAAGAAATGATACTCTAGGGAATGACACGTGTTGCGAAATGGGAAAACGTCACGCCCCAGGTTCTATTCCTATCATTTAATCAACCTTGACGAAAACAGATGACGAAAAAAACAACTTCCTCAAAGGCTCCAGCACCAGATCATTTAATTCTACGAAGAAGAAAAAATGAAATAATGAATGAATATTTCTATATCGTTCAACACACGGCGAGCAAAGAGGAATTATTTACACTGACATAGGCGCGCAGAAATAAATTGACTTTGCCGTTTTCGTTTGATTTTTTTTTTTCACTTGTGTCATTTAGCATACTTCTTTAGATTCTAACCCATTGTTTTCCAGAAAAGAATATAATTTTCACATCTTATTTTCGCCTAGCACTTTCATCTAAATTGCCTTGGATTCCTTGTGGTGCGAGCACAACCCAAGCCAAAGGCAACGCGCTTCCATATACGACCGTTGTCATAAACTGCTTTTAACTCTGGCTGCGATTGTTTCGCAAGTGAAAACCAGACCCTTTTCAAGTTATGCACTTACTTGAAAATGGAAGAAGCCTAAAGTATGGGATTAGTTTGAGAATCAATGTTCGTAGGTCCTCTCCATTCCAACTGAATAAGTACTGAACAAGCCATACTTCAACGGCAGGGATAGATTCCTAGAAAAGAACTGTAAGATTAGTATAGGAAATACCACCATTCGAGAGAAATTAACGAAAAATACTGACCACCCGCATTTGACGAAAGTGTCTTAATACCGCGAGTGCGTAGAAAGGGTGGAATGAAGTAGTCTTGAGTAAGACTGTTTTTGGTTGTGACTGACGTTTCGACAACCTGAGAGGAAACTTCAGTCACTACCAACACTAACAGCCATTCTCAAGACTACACTCAACCAGACGATCACGTTTACTCTTAAAAAATATATGAGTATACTTTTCTCTTAGGATGTCTTTTCGCTCGACTAAAATAAGCCTTTTCATAGTTTAAGAATCGATTCCACTGCGCATGCGATTTTATACCGAATTTCTCACCTTCTTTTGTTTAATTAAGAACAAAAGAAGGTTTAGACAAAAGAAGGTGAGAAATTCGGGATAAAATCGCATGCGCAGTGGAATCGATTCTTAAACTATGAAAAGGCTTATACCTTCAAGTTTAATGATTTCTCTCTTTACCTGAAGAAAACTTGTAAACTGAATCAAAGTCTTAAGCAGTCTAGTATTGGATGAATCTGGCTTGCAGTCTTCGCCTTGTAGAAATTCTACAACAGAGGAAAATGGTATGTGCAGTAGAAAATTAGGTTTTGAAATTTTTAGTCAAAATTATGATGATTTCAAAAACAAGGTCCTAAAAAGAGTTTTTCTTAATTCCGATAAGTACCTCCAGAAAATTTAAGTCGCAAGAGAAAAAACTTGAAATGTGAACAAAAACTAGACAAAAAAACGTATCTCAATTCTTGGGGTTCAACCACATTACTCAAACAACCTTGAGATATACTAATCTCTGCATATATTTTAAAATACTTTAAAGCTTTACCTTGATATAATGACTGATTAAGCCAAAAATTGAGTCTTTGTAGTGTCACGTCATCTGGGTTACAACAGACCACATGTTGAAGAAACGGCGACTCAAGAACAGATGCTATTTGGCTTGGAAGCTATGGAAAAAAACAACCACTTTTACTCCCTCTCCAATCTAAGTTTGGAGTTTAAACAATTTTAAAGCTCATTTAAAATATTGAAACCCCAGCACCTTTATGTGAAATGTAAGTTTAGCGTTAAATTTTATCGATACCCTGAAACCTCTGGGCTAATGAAAGTCAGGGCACAGCTGACTCTCAAACTGAACCCTGGAATTTAGCATGTTAATTTTTACAGAAGGATGGGAACCCTCGAAAAAAGGGAGAGGCCTAATGAACTACGCCAGCCGTACTGGATACATAATTACTATACTATTTTATTGGTGAGATTTACCTCGATTTTATCTATGTTTTCGAGTAGATCACTGAAGTCATGCAGCTGAAGAAGAGCAACTTTTTCATCATCTTCTTCTTCCTTTCTGCTTGTCATATTTGTTAATCGACTAACTTTACTTGGTGGTGGAATTATTATTCCTCCTAATCTCTTCCTTCTTAATTCCTTGGAAAGGAAAAAAATGAATGATTTAAAGCATCAGTCATCTCTAGAAAAAGGGGAGCATGAATAAGAGAGGGAAGCTTCTCAATAATGCGCTCACCCTGTAAATTCCGGGTTGGGCTATTTTTAGTAACTGGATGCAGTTTATATTTCGCCTTACCCTACTCCTGTGCGTCATCATCTTGCGCGCACACTCCGTTTCCGTTTCATCTTTAGTGATCAAAACAAAGCGAGCGACGTAAGATGATGTCGCACGGTAGTAGGGTAAGGAGAAATTTAAACTGCATCTGGATACTAAAAATAGCCCAACCTGGAATATACATGTGCGCACGTTATTAAGAAGTTTTCCTCTATTATTTATGCTCTCTTGTTAGAAATCAAAAACTCTCCCACCCTCTAACTACCTTGTTTTTTTCCTATCATCCCCATTGTATTTGTTGTGAATGTGACAAAAGCTTAAAAATACCTTATCTTTTGTTTCTCTTGCTTGTAAGAAAATCTTTTCAATTGCCAGTTGTGAATTCCTTTTTGCCTATGGAAATGTTTTATTATAAGAAATACTGTGTACAAAATATATAATTGATACAACTTATATTGAAAATAATCATGCACAGTTTTGGCCAAGTCCTCTGGCCCAGTTGTACAAAGGGTGGATAGCACTATCCGATGGATAAATCTTATCAAGTGGATAAATTTATTGGGTAACAGCATCGACTTATCCAATGGATATCCGATAAGGATGTATTTGTTGGGCCGCGCTATCCTTTGTACAGCCCGGCCCTGCCCTGGTAAATTTATTGGAATTGATAGACTTTTTTTGAGGTCAATAAACAGGATGCATTCTGGTCTAGCTTGGGTAAAAGCAACACCACAAATAGGCTTGATGCCTAAAATATTTTTCATACCCAAGCTATACCACAATGCACTATGTTCAAACATCCCTTTTGCACCTGCACTTTGTAAATGGCTTCTCTCCATGATCTATCTTTCTCCTTGAACCAAACCTGGGACACAAGAAATTATATCTTTTATCATATTCAGCCATCTTCACTTGAACAATTAATTCCTCCAAGGTAATTAGTATGATTTAGTTAGCAAGCTATTTAATGGTGTTAATATTAATTGTGCATTAATTAAACTGCATTTGAAAAAATCAATATCTCTTCTTACTGATTTGGATGAGGTTGCCATGGATACCAAGTTGGGACAAAACATTTTGTAGATTGAGAGAAGATCATTTAGATGTGGTTGGGATCCCTGTGGGTCGACAAACAAACAAAATTCCTATGAAGTGTATATTCAGCATGAAGCAATTGAATACATATAGTCAATATTTGCATCAAGCCACATTACACATTAAGCATGGCATTTACCACACGGGTCTGTAGATTTAGTAGCTTCTTAATCCTGAAGCGCTTAACTGAAAAATGAAGAATTTGAGAGAGAAAACTGGTGAAGTGGAAAATAATAGCTGAACGAAAAAGAAAAAAAAAGAAATGAATATTGTATATCCCCATGTATTATGATGGTATTTTCAGCAAATTGATATCCCTAATGAACAATTTTTCCAACCCCTTCTGCTTGCAAGCATGAAACTTCCCTCTCCCATTCTCTTTTCTAATAATGATGATGTTGATGATGATGATGACAATGATGATAATATAATCTTTAATAGATGAAGAGCTATTACCATTTTCTTGCCTTGTTAGGTTGGATAACAGAAGACAAGCATGAGGACACTGAAAGAAAAAACATAAATTAGTCATTAATCTATTGCTTTATATCCATATAGCACAATAAGGCTTATTGATATCGATGGGGGACTCAAAGAAAGAATGTCCCTTATTCTCTGTGGTGCAATGGGCTTTCAGACTATGTGCCATTCTCTCGAAAATAAGTTGTATAAATGTAAATGGGTAACGCAATTGGTAAAGAGGGTGTATTATCAAAGTATAATTTAGCAGAAAAGTTTGAAGGACTTACCAAAATATCACTCTCCAGAAACAGAAAGATGATGCCATAAAGTGAATGCAGTTGAGATATGTCATCAATGAGCTTATAAATCACTATTATCCATCGCAGTAGTAATGCCTAGAAATACACCGTTTAACAAGTGAAACAATAGCATTTTCATCAATGAACTTATAAATCGCTATTCTCCATCGCAGTAGTAATGCCTAGAAATACACTGTTTAACAAGTGAAACAATAGCATTTTCCATGGATGACATCAGTATTGTGCATCATGGGATTGAAGTGTAGACAAGCCAATCCCAGTGCACATGCTAACATACTGCAACATTGTTTTGTGGTCTTAATTGTTGTTTCCAATCCACTATGACACCATATTGACATAGTCTTTTTGTTTTCACTGGCTCAATTTTAAAGATAGTGACCTAATTTAAACACTTTATTGCAGAACTTTCAAACTATAGCATATCTGTGTATCCCATACCTGAAGAGAAGAGGAGAGCGTATTGGTACTAATCCATGAAACAGTTTTTACAATAGCTAAAACTGGTACAGATTCCCTAGGGATCAGTGACTTGACAACTTTGCTAGCAACACCATCAGCTGATACCATTGAAAGACAAAAATACCAAAATCAATGCATGGTTTTAAAGCAGAATATAAATGCTTAGAACTAGCAAGGATCCTACCGTATTTTCCTGAACAAGCAACATCAATAAGTTGTATAATTTGTGCTTCTATAAGTCCATTTTTACCGGAATGACTTTCTAAGGTTTCTACTGCAAGAAACGTCTTCGAGTTGTTTTTTATTCTTTTCGTTGGCTCTTCTGTGAGATCAAAGCAGAATTATGAAAACAAATCCCTAAAAGTCTGATTTGTTAGGTAGATATAATGATAACATTATACTATATGTGGTTGCTTTGTAAACGATAAAAATCAAAATAGTAAGGAAGAGCTACGAACGTACCTTGTTCGATCAAAAATTTTATAGCCTCAGTTACACGATCGTTGTCAGATACGACCTCACTCATGATGCTTATTCATGTCAGTAAGGCTTTTTTAGCTAATAATAGATCATTTGATTAAGAAATGTTGTCCAAAATCCAAGATTTGGTTGTAAATATTTCAAGAACGTCAAAAACTACAAGGCGCCAAGATTTTGAACGAGATTACCCAGCAGTCACTGCGGAAAAAGCGCGCGCTTTTGAATTTTTTAGCGCTTTTTACTTTATTGCAAATATACGGAGCTAAAGAATTAATAAAGTATCAATATTATTTCATTTTTAAAAATATTTTTGTTGCTATCCTCTATTTTTAAAGAATTTAGACGTGTCTAGAATGATAGAGCAACTCATGTAATCCTCCCTCCCCTCCCTCGAGTGTTTCCTATCTACGTGGTATGTCAGCAACGCCTGACGCTAAGTGCCAGTAGCCCAGTCAGTCATGACAACAATAATGGCTCCTAAGAAATATGTGTGATGTGGCTAAGATTTGTTTTTTTTTTAACCGTTACCTTCTCTGATGTTAACTGTGGATAGTCGTGGTGAGTTTTCTTGGTTAACGGATTGAATGATGCTTAAAAATGCTGGATTTTTGATGATACTTTTGAGCGCCATTTTGATGTGTAGGTCGTCAGAATTGGACTTTGACAGCCGATGGAACAGTAAATCTTGTAGCGCAATATATCAGCTATTTCACACCAAAGAGCAAGTAATTCAAAAACTGAAACAAGTCCTTGATGTTGAAAAAGAGAAAAAATTACTTTCTCATGCACAAGTTAGAGCAATTGTCATTTACCAATCCGAACTGAATGACACCGAAAGAGCTGTTTTGGAAGCAATGGGAGGTCTGAGAAAACTCCTTCATGAAGATTATAAGTCAGTCGTGAAAATCAAAGAAGCTATAAAACAGAGACTAAATTCTTTTAAAGATATCGCTTTACGTCAAGAGGATCAATATAATGCAATCAGTGAAGCTGAGAAAGAATTGGCGGCAGAGAATAAACATCAGAAGAACTCGAGTAGTCGAATAGGAAAACTAATTGAGGGCATTTTAAGCGATGTATCTTTTGCAGCTGATAAACTAGAGAAGAAGCTGAGTGATAATACATTTGAAAAGACTAGAAAATCTAAAGGGGCATCTATAGAGGCAGTGGTGAGATTGAAAGAACAGGAAGAGGGGGAATCAGAAGAAGAATTAGGACCAACGAAATCACCTGAAGAAGAAGAAGAAGACAAAAAAGATGGAATGAGTATACTAGTTGATTCACAGAGTAATCAGTTTGTATTGTCAAAGTCTAAAGATGCTACTACTCCTCATGAAGATGTTCATTTGATTAAAGATATTATATGGATCATTATTTTGTCATTCTTTGGAGCTTGTGCTTGTATGGTTGTCCAGCTTCCAACCATGTTTGGTTTTGTTCTGAGTGGTATGGTTCTTGGACCAACTGGTATCAATGTCATCAAGGTAAAAACGAAACAATTATGAGTAAAATGAGTTCAATTATTGAGAATAAATTATCAGTTTAAGTTCCTTATATATGAATGCATCACTCCATTGTTTATGGGGAGAAAGAAATAGCAATCAAGAGAATAACGTAAATCATAGTTAGTAGAGGGCTTATGGGTACCGCTCTACTAACTACATGATGGAATAACATGCAGTAAGGGATTGCAAAACATCATAGCCAATTCAAGAGTCAATCATTTGAAAATGGAATCAGGAGCAAAAAAAGTTATGTACCAGTTTTTCTTAATTCATTTATTCCACAGCAATAATTCATTTATGTCGCTATGATTACAACTTAAAAGTGTTTTGGTTAAACAATGGATATAGACTTTTCCTTTAAAGTCCTAGATTTCCTTTTCCTGATTTCCTCATTAACTTTCAATAAAATAATAGACTGAGGCATGTAATTGAAGCTATATGATCAGAATGCATAGAAAGATATAAATGTGTCCCATTCCTACTTAAGTAAAATAATTTTATTTCAATAGTAATCACCAGGTCCTAGCTGTAATATCGGACGGTATCTCCTCTAAGTTTGACTGGGAAAGAGTCACTAATATATTTACCCATATTTTGTTGGCTCAGAATTACTTAGTGATATGAGAATCGCAATACAAAACGTATTGTGATTTTGAGATATTGACAGAGTTGGCAAGAAGTTGTATCCTGTATTTAGCCATAGTTGCTTCCTAACTATACTGAGCCAATACAGGATATATTTTTTGTCTCAACAAAAAATATATAAAAAATTAAGTACGAAAGTATAAAAATATAAGAATATATTTCAATATATAAAAAGTTGTAAAAAGTGTTTGTTTTGTAAATGGTGTATATTGCACCAACAGAAGTACATTAAGAAAAATCATTTATCTCGTGGATAAACTGTTGGCAATGTAGGAATATCTAATTATGAATTAGCATAAGACAACCCAGCTGTTTGATTAAGATTCATGTATGATTCATGTATGTACACAACTGTCTTAGCAAGACAGTACATTACCTAACACTATCGTAGGCTTTTGTTGCTGTACAAATAAATAGAAATCTTTCTTTTCAATTTCAAATTTTTCTTTTCAGTCAGTGGTTCAGGTGGAAACTCTGGGGGAATTTGGCGTCTTCTTTATCTTGTTTTGTGTAGGATTGGAATTTTCTCCTGAAAGAATAAGAAAGGTAATTAATACATTGCATACATACCTGTGGGTGTTTGGATTACAAAAAAATATATGTTATTTGTATTGTTAAAATCATTTTTTGGAATTATTGGAATTGTTGTATTGGGCTACCTGTGGAAGCAACAGGGATCCCATATGGGAAATAAAAAAAATTGAGTGCAAAAATTTTATCACATATTTGTTTATATAGCGTTTATAAATTCCAATTATGTTGTTTTTTCTACTTGTTATTAAAGATTGTTACTGAATATAGGGAATATAGGAAGGACACAGCAGCCCAATATTTGATTGTATTTTTGTTGTTAATTAGGTGTGGAAGATATCTCTAGGAGGTAGCAGTCTTATCATGGTTCTTACCATTGTGTTCGGCATGTTTGGAGGAATGTGTCTTGGTATTCTACCTCAACAAAGTGCTTTTGTAGCAGCTTGCCTATCCCTTTCTAGCACACCACTCATTGTCAAGTTCTTGGGAAGCAAACATGGAGAAAACTCCAATAAAGGTATTATTAACGTATGATGGCTAGAAAAAATAATTACTAACTTTTCCTCAACACTTTTTTAATTTTGACGTCAGGAAGATAATGCAATCATGTTCTCAAAACTGTTTCGATGTGCATGCCATTATCTTTAGCATTGCCATTTTCTCTAGGATGTGAAAAAGTACTGATGTCTTCAGAAGCAAGGACAGCAGCAGCAAAGATCAATACTGCCATAGCTATGCCTGTCTAATGCAGACACTCTTTCATTTCTTTGACAGAACATACAAATGGTGACCATGACTATAGTAGTAGTTTACTAGGAATCCTGGTAATGCAAGATGTATACCTAGGACTGATAGTAGCAATTCTGCCTGCTCTCTCTGGACACATTGTTTCACCATCGAATGGGAATAATGGTGTCGTGCATCACCTTCTGCATGGGCAAGGTCCATCTAATGGTACCAGTGCAGTTGAAGGGTTTGTTAATACCTCATGGATAGTGCTAGAAGTGTTTGGCTCAATGGTTGGACTCTTCATCTTTTGTATTTTTATAGCAAGATATGTTCTTGCATCATTTTTCAGGTGCTTAGTATGATTTTTTCTTTATTGTCTTTGCAATTTTACAATGATATTATGAGAAATGTTTTTATAGGTTTATGCTAGGCAATGTCTCATGCATATATGTTGCAAAGAACATTGCCAGGTGCAACTGCACCTTAACAAAGCAATACTAGCAAGACATTGGGCATTAGCTGCCTGCAAACTATTCAAGTACTTTATTTCTAGTTTAGTATAATAATTATTTTTATCTGTGTTGTAAAGATTTCTTCACAGGATGGGAACTGTAGAATTGCTTTTTCTTGGCACAGTTGCCATTGCATTTGGCATGCTCTTGGTAAGAAAACTATTAGGAAACTCCTTATCTTCACCCTAATTTAGATATCTTTTACCACCACTAGCATTTCCATGAATAGGATTATCAATCTATTTGTCAGCACATCAAAACCTGACAACAGTGTTCTTACCAGGAATTTCTTTCAGGGGGTCAAAGGGCCCACCAATCCGAAATTTAGGGGCCATTTAGAAAACTGGATGGGCCATTTCCAAAATCTTAAAACAACGAGTAATAATGTTTTTAGCCAGTAACTCTGTTGCAAATCTACAACAATGTAAGACAGTTTTTTAGTAATGACAACACAATAAAATTTTGCTGGGCAGCCATAATTGGACCATCAATAAACAGAGGCAGTTAACGCAGACTAATCCCAGACGTCTTGGCGATGGCGGCTATGTTCGATTCGTGGCGTTTCATGTACTCTTTCACCTTCTTTATTGACAATATAATGCGACTTTTATTATTTCAAAAGTACTCTAAATCTTTAAAACTATCAGGAAGTATTCTTTGGATAATTCATGCGCCCTTGGGGGCGCATAGATTTGACATTTCTGCGCCATTTCTGATTTTTATGCGCGAATCCCGCAATAGCGCGGCCTGGTAAGAACACTGTGACAGTACACTACAAATCACTACCAAAACTAACTAGGAGAGACGTAAAAGAACCACTGAGGACATAGAGAAACTCTGGCAGTGACCACCCTCAGTGCCTCAACTTCATACAAACCATATCTCATGCTTGTAAATTGCACAAAAAGCAATCTGTCATTCACAACTCAATGTAAAGCGCCTTTGCTTATATTCATATAGAGAAGGCGCTATATAAATTCATAAATCATTATCATTATCATTATAAAACTGCAACACCATCAGTCCTAACTACACAACTACATCTATATACCAAAACTGCACCTTTATGAATATCAGTACATATTATTACCACGAATAACATCACACTCAATGCCAGCAACCATTATTTCCATCAACACAGCCACCACTACATACCAACACTACATACAAGTACTACCACTACCACTACCTCACATCACATAACATAACATAACCAACACCATCAGTCCCTTCAAACACAACTGCCTATCCTACTCTAATCGTCACTATTATCTGTTTCCACAGTTGTTTGATAATTTCCATTGAGTACTTATTGATCCATATTTTCTTCAGATATCAGAGCATCTTGGAATCTCAATGGAACTGGGATGTTTTGTAGCAGGTGTAGTGATCAGTGCAAATGGAGAGCAACTCGTTAAACAGGTACCATATCTCTAGCCTGTTGCATGTCTTATGATGTAACTTTGATTTTATGTGGTTTTGTTTTTAGCCATTCTAGTAATAGCCTGCCTATTCCTTTTCTCAAGATAGTTTTTCTGCTTTCGTAGGTTGTGCATTTAGTGGAGCCCATTAAGGATTTCTTGTCTTGTTTATTTTTTGCTTCTATAGGTAAGTGAATGAAAACATGCTGCTTTGTTTAATAAGAAAAACAATAGCACTTACGATCACAGTATCCACTCAGAGCCTGAGTAACCGTCCCTCTATGCTCTCTCCTCCCCTCCCCTCCCCTCCTCCTCCCCTCCTCCTCCCCTCCTCCTCCTTCTCCATGGGGTCTCCATGATCCTCTCCATGATCCTCCCATGATCCTCTCAAAAATGCAAATTAAAATGTATTATATGTTGATAATGGAAGCGATCACAATCACTTACTCTAGTCTCCCATGACCATGGTTTTCATTAAGAATTGGAGAGTAAATTTACGTTTTTTTACTTTACTTTTTATAGGTCTGCATGTGTTTCCTTCATTCGTTTTAAGTGAACTATCTGTCACTTTAACGTTAACCTTTGGTGTCGTAGTCTTAAAGGTAGGATACCTCGGGACGGTCTTTACTTCTTCCTCATTGTGACAAAAAAGGAGAAAATTGGATAAGCTCAAGGGAAAAGTGAAATCATTGCAAATAAAAGGGGTATATTTTTGCTGAGATTATTCGAGAAAATATATGGGTAGAATAGGCTGTAAAAATCTGAAAATTTGCAATGAAAATAGGGTAAGTGTGGGATGCAAATGGAATTTAACTTCAATTCTATGGTATTTGCAAAGAAAAATGGATAAACATGAATGCAAAACCTATGTAAGTAAGATAAATGGAATAAGCGAAAGATGTGTTATACCAACACTTATCTTATTTTTCTTTCTTTTTCTCTTTTTTCTTTTTTATCTATAGTTTTTAGTAGGGGTTTTCGTGCTTCGCCTGTTTCTTCCCAACTCAAACAATAGCAAGTATATAGTAGCAGCAGGTCTGGCGCAGGTCAGTGAGTTCTCATTTGTCCTTGGAAGTCGTGCTAGAAGATTTCATCTCATTTCTAGAGAGGTAAGCAGTGACCCAGTGATCAGTGTTTGGGGGTCTGTGGATGGGTCCCACGGTTTGGAGGGGGAGTGGCACGCGCGTGTGCGCTTGCATTTTAGCAGGAATGTTCCCGCCAATACCGAACCACAGGAACCCCGCAGAGAATTATTTTGGTGCAAAAGCCTGTGTACAACGGCTCCCATTCCCCTTGTTTTCCAGTCTTAATGGAACTCGTTCCCAGCCTCTAGGTTCTCGGGTTCTGGACTCAAACTGCATTTGGGTAGAGTTTGTTGAACCGAGTTTGTTACATCGTTCCCTTGATTCGAGGCTTTTTTTCTGGGATCTCCGGTTTTCCTCCTTCCGTGAAACGTAAATTCAATCTGGGAGCTAGCCATACCCTTATTTAGATCAGCGCAGATGTCGTTTCAGGGTTTGATCTGTGAGTTAGCCGTGCCCTCATAACTTTGATCAGCCCAGAGGTCATTTCAGGGGATTGATAAAATCAGTTGAAGGATTTTAATGTAGAACGAAAATAACTTAACATCATTACTTGTAGGTCTATCTCCTCATTCTCAGTGTCACAACCCTTAGTCTTCTATTCGCACCGTTGGTTTGGCGAGTTTCTCTTTGGCGATTTGGAACCAAGCCAGGAAAGAGTAATTCAAAAGTATAACAAAAGTATACAGTTAGACATGATAACGATGAAAATTCTTATGTCATAAGTTATTCCACCTTTTTACATTCAATTGAAAAATATTGTCGGGTTCAAAAGATAGAACAATAAGCTGTAGCCGAAATGGTACATGGGCAGTACGTTTATTAAATGTATCTCGTTATGCGACTCGTGAAATGTTTATAAATTGTTGCGCTGTCATAAGATAATTATGTCATTTCCAGAATACCTTTTCATCTCAGCTTCTTCATTCTGTTTTGAACCTGACAATGATTTTGCGTTTATATAAATCGACAAATTCCTAATATTTATATTATGTGTATGGAGCATGTGTAGTTGCTAGTCCCTTAGATTTTGTCCCAACCTCGTTCTTAGAGACTTTTCTCCTCCTCCTTCGCGCGCCGCCATTTTGAAAAAAGCGAGAATAGAAGGCTATTTGAGGGCCGCCATTTAAAAAAAGCGCGAAGAAAGGCCCTGGGAACGAAGTTGATCTTGCCCTTGCTCAGAGGAAGTCTGGTATTAATGAACCAGCCATGCATGAATTGCCCTATTTCACTATGACGTCACTGCTTGTTTATGTGGGGGATAGAATCACCAAATCCAATTGAAAATTCAACAAAATTTGCTCCTAGCGAAACAGTTTAATCAAAATGGCCGGGTTTTCAGATATAATATGTGTTAATATGTACTAAAAAATATTCTGAGCGTTTGCTGGCTATTCTACTTCTCTTCGCGGATTGATACGGGTTTTAGAACACTTTACGGTGAATTTGCGTTGATTTAATCCCCTCCGACGACCATGATCCATTGCATTTAAACAATAGATTGTTTTGATGTGACGTCATAGTGAAATAGGGCAATTATGGGAAGTAAAAATATTCCATTATAAAATGTCTTTAGGAACTTTTCATCATCTATCATTTGATCCTTTAAAAGGTCCTCAAAATATTTTTAGGTTCCCCTAATTGTCATAACGTAGTTCTCTGTAATTCAGTGCATCCCTAAATTATTTATAATTGGTCAGACCTCTCGTTTTTCACCCCCCTCTTAGTCGATTTTTTGAAAAAATATGATTGTTTTGAACAGATGTGGTTGTTGCGGTCATAACAAAATTTTCGCATTATTTCTTTTTCTAAATATTCCAAAAATATATGACTTTTTATAGGAAAAACATAAATCATAATATTAGTATATCAATACAATGTATCTGAAATTATTAATCTTATTTACATCGACGTATTTTATTAGCAATGTACTATTGATTTAAAGAAAAACCTTACCAATTTTTTATCATTTATCAAGAAATATTCATATTGGCTTTTGGGAACAGTGGGTATCAATATAATATGTAAGTTGAGTTGTAAATATATGATTGAGTTTTAGACTAATATTTTACAATAAAATATATAATAGAATCTGGTACATGAGAAAGATGTCAATCGTACTATTATTACTTGCAACTTGAGGATATCAGCATCAATTTTTCACACCGTTGCAGGAAAAAGTTTTTTATCGCGTTATGAGTCTTGAGACCAGCTACCCCCTAGAATGGTCTGCTAATTAGAACAATCTTTGAAATTTATAAATTAATGCTGATTTTTAAAGATAAGTAAACCAATAAACAAATGGTAGAAAAATTCTCAAACAGAAGATGCTATGCACTAAGAACTTCTTCCGGGTTCGTATGAAAATAGCACGAGTTTTTTGTTGATCTGCTAAGAAAAATTCGGTTTTGTCAAATCCATCAATTTTGTTTATCCCTGAGGCGACTTTTCTTGTTCTTAACGGCTCATTTACGCGCAACTTAGCGTTAGACTTGCTATTTTCCCTAATTTGTTTTGATCGAAATAACATTATGGAATATATAACCAACAAATGACGACCACCCGGTGTGGAATTTTGGCTAGATTGTGTTTTCGATCCTTGGTTATTCTCTTTCCTATATCCCAGCTTTTCTTTGCCTATAAATAAATAGTGAGGACTTTCTGAAAAAATAGCTCGCTATTTAGAAGAGCGAGCCATTTTTTTCAGAAATACTTAACATTTTTTTTTTAATACTATTTATCGCAGTGTTGTGAACCTGCTCTCAGCATCACGTACCTGCAACTTCAAAGAAGTGTCTGTACTTTTTCGCAGTCTTAAAGTAGATATTTTACTCCAGCCTTGCCTATCTTTAGTGGTTCTGGTTATCTCGGGAATGTCCATGCAGTTACTTTAACTTATTTTTTTACGACGTTTAACTATCTTGCCTTGCGCATTTAGTTTTCTTTTTTACAGTTCGATTGTCTTATTCCAGCTATCTTCTCTCTTCTCATTGTTGTATTTGAAAGAGGCTGAAGATTTTGCTTGATAACAGGACTTTCTACCAGACAATTTAGTTTTATTAGTAAATACGAAATAAATCACAGCTATTTAGGTGGAATTTGTGGCAATTCTTTCGCATTTCCACGTAAGTTTCACATTCAAGATAATTTTGAGAAGGGTCCATTTCCTCTCATTTCTTTGTTTGATTATGGGGTCAGTGTAACCTGTGGGCTTCCTGTGTCATAACAAAGGCACATGTCTTACTCCAAGTAGACGCAAAGCCAAATTTTACAGTGTAAATTTAGTACGACCTGTGATAAGCTAAGTAACCGGATGGTGGGAATTGAGGAAACTTAGAAAAACGAGGTTTCACCCACGTTTCGGCAGATTTTGTCGAGAGCCAACACGCACGCGCAAAACGCTATAAGTCATATGACACATGCGGTTTTACGGCGTGCCAACAATTCAGTACCAAACGAAGTACTGTTTACTTTTCGAATGTATTACTAATTTGTACATGATTGTCACGATATTGCATTTGTGCGATTGAAACTGTTCTAGTACATCCCTATTTTTTTCATAAGCTAGCCTAAATATTCATGCCTTTTGTTTAACTCTGCCGTTGAAATCAGATGCAAGTAGTCCCTGATAAATCTTTATCTATGTATCGACCTGACGTGCTTTTTTTAAGAGACTTCGACTGGTGTGCTGCCATCATGTGAACTCTTAATCCTTTACACAAAACTTCCTTTGTACCTAGTCTGAGATATGAAAATATGAAAACCATAAGCGTGAAGCAGCTCATGGGTCTAGCTGCGAATCTCTAATAGCATTATGGCTCTACGTTAGTGCTGTAGTCTTGCTTACAATATATACTGATTGTAAATGAAGCGAAAGACGGTAATCATATTTTTAAATTTAAAAATATCTAGAGGCGCTTAATCTTAGCAGTCGTGGATTAGCACCACTCAATAAAAGAAACGGAGCGAACAAATGTTGAGAACAAATTATCGTAGCTAAATCACTTCATCATTTAATAATTTGAAGACTGTTTTCGGTGTTTTGGGGCATTTTTGGTTAGACATTTATTGGGTTTCATTGATCGTACTATTAACTAAACACTGACCGCAATTTCTGTGTGTCTTCATAAGCCGTTGCCAAAAATGGCAACTCGAGCTGTAATTGGTTGAGAGGGGAACAAGAATACGACGTCATGTCTGTAGATATCTAAGCGCCATGGTCGTGTGTAGTGCAGCGCCATTTTAGCCACATTTTGCCTTGATTTAAGGCGAAAAAAGGCTCGAATTGATCTCATTTTTGTCATGGACATTGGTTGGTTATTTAGCTTTGCTAGGCCTTGGTTCGAGCTTTCTTGAAGAGTTGATGGCAGAAGGAGTGGACAATGACATGAACCAACAACAACAGCAAGACGTTCCGCATGGTCAGGAGGCGTTTCACACTCCTTCCGTGCACTTCCAAAGCACTCCTTTGGATGATATAAATACTCCTTCTCTTTTAGTTACAGCCTCTTCTACACAGCTTGGTGCAAACCCAGGTCCAAAAAAGAAAAGTGCATTTCAAATTACTAGCGTAACTGAAACGCGAGCGCACAGTCGAGGTGACAGTAATGGCTACGACATAGAGGATCTAAACGAAAGTGATGTTACAGAAATCCAAGTAGAAACGAGAGAACACTCTGGCAATGGAAATGGGGGATCACGATTTAAGGTCGTTAAAATTCAAAGAAATGAGCCTTACAGGCGAGGACGATGGCTGTGCCATGACTTTGAACAACCTCCAACCAGTTCAACTTCGACTCAGAGCAATGCAGATACTCGCGAAGGACCTTGGAGTGCGAGTACTGCTTCTAGTTCAGGGATTTTCAATTCGAATCATGTCTCTGCTGAGACGTCAGCCTCAAATGATCCTTCTCTACAAGACCACAGAAACGCTGTGGAAGTAACCTTTAATTATTTGCCGGGCCAAACGCCAAGTATAGCGCCGGCCATTGTGAACTTCGAAGCTACATTGCGAAAGAAAGAGTCGGATCCACATTTAAGTAGTGCTACCACAAATCAAGATTTCTCGGATTTAGGATCTTCGGCTTCTAGTAAAACTTTACCAGTTAACGAAAGAATAGAAACTTTACCCGAAATAGCACGTCATGCAGTTGGAAATGCCCAGAGGTGAGGAAAATAGCAATGTTTATTCTTACAACGTGTAACCTTGAGTAATAAAAAGATATAACTAGCTAAAAACTAGTGTGAGCTGCGTCGGTGTTTCTAATGAAACAGTAATGATGAAAAGGTAAATTATACACCGTGAAAAGATGAAAAAACTTACTGACGTTTCGGACGCTAGTCCTTCGTCGGAGTAAAATACTCCGACGAAGGACTAGCGTCCGAAACGTCAGTAAGTTTTTTCATCTTTTCACGGTGTATAATTTACCTTTTCATCATTAACCTTGAGTAAGTCTACGCTCTCTTCGCCTTGAAGTTAAACGTTCAAAGCGAGGGTGGCTTAGATTTTTATGATATATATTTTAAGTCCTACGGTTCAGTGTTTGAATAATTGGTGTCTCTATAACTGTCTCTTTTTACCACAAAAACTTTGAATCCCGGTGTTCGAGTTACTGACTCCCGATACTCAATAATTTATTGATCATGGTTAACTTCAGTGAAAGAAAAATGTTGAATGTACAACGTGGTACGAATTTTCCATATTTAGCTCAAAGCAGCTCTAAACGTACCATCTTTGACAAAAATCATTTCCAAGTAGTTTACAAATCGATATTTTTTTGCCCTCGATGGATTGATAAGCATTCTCTGCTCGCCATCCTTCGTAATAGTCTATAAATTTCTAGCATCCAGTTTTTGTTCAAATACATATAATATTTGTTTACATTTCTACCTAAATCCAAGTTAACTGGTTGCACAAGAAATCCTTGAATCCTTAGATTAGGATATCAAAGGTGTTTGCTGCTAGTATTATTGTGAAAACTCTAATCCCTCAAGGCAGTCATCTTCCTTTGAACGAATGATAATGGTCCAAAGATCTATTAAAGAAAGGGTCGCTGGGTCCAACGTAGTTAACGTGGTAATTTTCCTGCAACCATTTTGTTTTGCTCGCATACGGTACCATAATTGATTACGGTTGTTTTTAAAGTATCCTTCACTTTCAAACAGGTTGATATGTTTTATTTCTTTCTTTTTAACTTAGATGAAAATTTTTTAGTGAAGCGAAAAAAAGACCAATGTTGATTTCACATATCGTACATTTCAATAGGGTCACCCTAAAACACCTTTTTGTAACTTTTTCGAAAAAAAATCGTAGCATACCCAAAAAAATTAAATCATTAGATTGTTTGAAGGTTTTGTTTTTAGTTGAATACAACAATTAACAAAGGGTTTTATTTCATATTTCATTTTCTTTAGCATCAAATAAACTCCTGCACTTGGATAAGCAATATGCTAATCCAATTAAGATCTCTGGTTGAAAATTTGAAATTTCTGGTTGCAGCCCATAGCTGTGTTTATTTTGGTTTCTATCTAGGAATTAATAATATTGGTTTTTGAATCTTATGACATTTAATAATAGTCTGTGGTTCCCCTCTAAACCTCATCTATATAGATATTTTGTCCCAAAATATATATATATTCTTGAAATTTTAGTTATATCTTATTTGGATCCTTTGACATTTTCTTCATAGTTAATATACAATCTAAAGATCTTCAAAGAATTTTTAACCTTTGAGTTGTGCTTCATCATTTGGTATTTCAAATTGTAGCAAATTATTCATGTGTAATTCTGATCAGCAAGTAAAATTATCAGACAAGGAAATGGCATTTGAAGGGTAGTATTACAATTACCTGTTACCTCAACATTCAAAGTATGTTGCCAATTCCTGTTAGACTAAAATACCTAACATACCTTGTTAAATTTGCGAAAAGAAAAGCACAAATTTCTGCATTATTGTTGCTAGATTATGTAAAACAATTTCTGATAAAGCTAAAATGAATCACACACATTCATTTTCAGAATTTGTTGTTTCTTTTACAAAGTCATGTTCCAGCTCTTGTTCAAATTTAAAATGTCTTCCAAATAAGTTTTTCTTAAGCTAGATAATTCCAAAGCCTCCCCAGAGAATCAGACTTTTATTTCAAGATTTTGGTTGTTTTATACCTATTTGACAATTCTCAAGTGCAATCAGTTCCAGTCTAGGTCAACTGCTCATTACATTACAAGTAACCTCTTGTCCTCCTTGAGCTGTTTCTGTCACTAATGTTGCTATTTTGAAAATTCTATGTTCAAAAAATCCCGCAGACATTCAGATTTTTAGTGCAAACGTCTTGACATATGTCTTGATTGATATAATTTTAAATCTCAAGAAAGTGGTCATCTTGTTCAAACATCAATATGTAGAAAAATTTTTGCCATGATTTCATTTGTCTGCCCTTAAGGCTAAATGTTGTTTAGTATTTATAGATATTATGAATCTGCTAAATTTCAGCCAGAAATAAATACTTATTTAAATATTTTTCTTGTTTGTTCCACAGTTTTCAACATTTTTTGGCAAAATAATTGCATCCTTTATTTGAAAACATAAAGACATTTTAAATATAGGTTTATATTTTACCTTTGCTGTATATTCCTTATTTCCTTTTCTATTTTAGCTGATACTGTGCTATGACAGTTATCTCTGTGAATATGGTGAGATTTCATTGCAATTAAAAACACTACTGCATTTTAATTTTTAAATATATGTATATAACTTTCATGATCAAATCTCATTGTAAGGTCTTAAGAATCGAACTGAAAAAACTCTAGAAATATTAAATTTCTAACATCACTTTCTCGCATAAGCTAGTTTGTAATTTTTAACTTCAGTATCCACCAACTGCTTAAATATATATTTAAAATCCATAAATACTAAATGGATAGCCAGTATTTTTTTATATCTTAGCGGGTTTTTGTCTGTGACCAACTTATTTGCTGTCCTTTGTAATCAATAATTCACTCTTCAAAGATACTGTCAGGATAACTACTGAAATCCAAAAACAAATTTGATTTAATCAGACGTTTTAGTTGTTACTGAGCACCAAATAGTTATTCCTAGTTTTTGCTCATTTGTAGTTTTTTTAGGGGAAAATATTGCGAAGGCTGGTGTTATAGGTAGTTTTTTAAAATAGAAATTCTTCAAAATATATTGCTTATGACTTTTAAAGGGGGACTAGCATGTAAGTCGTCCGAATTTCAGTTCAGCTGAAATTTTACTGGAACAACCCTAAAAGGTCTAATAATCACTGGTTAAAGTTTTTTCCTGATATTCGGATGGGAAGTATTACATTTTTGCGAATTTTTATAGGAGTCTGTGACGTCATACACTCAACACTAAACATCGCTCCATACATTTCTTTGTATTTTGTAAATTTTCTTTGTATATCTTCTAGTTTTATACTCAGCATTGAAGAAAAGATACCATAAAATGATTCTAACCACAAGTTATGTATGTTAAGTCCCTAAAAAACAAAAAAAAATCAATAGGCGGACCTTTGGGCTTAATACAAATAAAGTAAAACATGAGGTTATTTACAAAGAAGTGTATGGAGCGATGTTTAGTGTTGCTTGTATGGTGTCACAGACACCTATAAAAATTCGTAAAAATATAATACTTCCCTTTGGAATATGAAGAAAAAACTTCAACCAGTGATTATTAATCTCTTAAAGATTATTCCATTGAGGTTTTAGCCGAATTAAATTTTTAAATTTCGGAAGATTTTCTTGCTAGTCCCCCTTTAAAGTCTTTGAATATTGAAGAAATCTAAACTGCTATGTTTCCACAAAAGTCATATTACCATTTTTATGCAATATGAGAGCAGTTTAGTTTATACGTGGTTTTTCTTATGAGAATGGCGTGAATATTTCTTCTGGATCTCTTATTGCATAAAGATTTTATTCTGTTCATATCTGGTTGTAATAAGAATGCAATAGCAGGCAGTCCTGATGATTTGTCAATACCTTTGTCAATCATAGATTTTTTGACAGGAAATGTTTGACAATTATTTCTGCTTCAGCTAAATTCTAATCCAATGCCTTTTCTCATTCTTGATTCGTTACAAGAGATAAAATGAAGTATTTCCTACTTGCATAATACAATAATACAGTCTTTGTAGATGTCCGACAAAATGAAAATATTTGATCTACACTATTCTCAATGCCATATAGTTTCAGTATTAGACAAAGAAAACTGTATTTATTATGCTGTATCGTAAATCCCATTCTTAATGAAATGAAAGTTTCATTATATATGCAGTATTAACAATTATATTTTTGCCGAGGTAATGATGGGGATGTTTTTGATCCAGTTAAATCCCAAAATCTTACTCCAATTGGCTAGTCTAGAAAACACATATGCCTGACATGTTTCAAGATCTTGATCTCTACTTCCTTTATTTCTCAAGTGTGGAATAGTTCTCAAGTGTAGAATAGTGCTGAGTTTAATGCTGGTGCTTTACCTATTATGATATTCATATTTGAGCTTCTAACGCTGTCTATGTTGTGCTGTGTGAATCAGAACTTGCAAATTCAATAAATTTATAGAAAGCTGCGCCAATATCTTAAAGAGCTGGACATGCTAGGCTTTTTTCATTATTTATGGAGAACTCTTTATCTTTACCTTGATTCAATTTCACGGATGGTTTTTGTCATTCTGTAAATAAAGTATAAGAATCAGGCAATCAGTCAATCTTGTCTCCATTGCAAGATGCAAATATAGTGAGATGCAAATCTTGCAATAGGAGAAGTGCATATCATTGAACTTCAGTTTATGCTTATTTTTCTTGCAAAATATAATCCATTTTACTGGAAAATATTTGACTTAATATATGCCGGTAAATAGGAATATGTTCTATTTTGTTTTTAAGGAAAAAATTCAAATAAAGTTTTCAGGTGCATAAATTTGTGCCAAGAATCTCCCACTAAGTTTCTGTATCACATGACATTTTCATTCAAAGTTAATCTCTAATATAACACAAAAAGTTTTTCCCTTTCACAGAATTAATCCCATTTCCATAAACTTTTTAGAACAAGAAAAATATTTTCATATTGTTTTTTAAACAGTAGAACTCGTATTTTAGTAGCGTACAAAAAATTTCTAATTTTTTCTTAAGCATCTTGAGCAATGGTTTTAAAATTTAGAAGTCTACAACTGTATGCTAATGGTTTTCTACTTAATCTTTATTACTGTATGATATGATCCATGCCATTTAAGGTACTAGAGTGATTTTCCTCAGACCATGAAGCAGTTTCTAGCAGACAAATAGAAACACAACAATGGGAATATAGATAAACTAACCTCAACTCTAGTGATCTACTATTTCATGGTCTGTGGAAAATCACTCTAGCACAAACCATAAGTGATAGTTGTTCAAGTCCTTTTTTTATTGTACAAAAAAACTCAAATTACACTGCAAACACACTATCTACCACTTTTACAAAGTTAGCCATTCAAGATGCTCAGTAAAAAGGTTTCAGTAAAAATTGTATCCAATCAGGAGAAAGTGGAATCATTATCATATTGATCTCAGCCAATCACAATCTCTCATTCCCACAGTTCATAATACATGTAAATATTTCTCACAAATATTCTCATTCCTAATATTGTTTAACCTGCTATCATTAATTAAAATTGTTGTGTCTATGGTCCAAACAATTTTTATGAATGTCTAAGCAAGCAAGGCTATATATATTTCATGAAAGTTTCTTTGAGACTTTCACTCCTTTTTTTGAAAAAAAAAAACCTCTTTCTGCTCAAAGTGTGACATAATCATTCCTGAACATTGTGTGTCCAATCGATATAATAGCAAATATTATGGATGTATGCAAAAGAGATGCAAATGAGAGAACAAGCATTGTATCGACCTGATAGCCTTACTTGTATGATTCTTGAATAAAAGAGTATCTCATTCTGGGCTCATCTGTAATAGCAGCTGAATTACAGCTATTGACATCAATTATGTCTGTAAAATGACAGCTTTTTATTTGCTGAAAAATGCCAAAGATTATTCTTTTGCAGCATATCCCAAATCTACTCAAACAGAAGGACAAAACAAGGAAATCTTACTTTCTTAGGACATAAAATTTATTATTCTGTTCTCCAAATAAGCTGCAATTTAATTTAATTTTATTTGGTAATCTGATGTATAGATGACAGAATGATTGAGTATGTCTGCAACCTATCAACCATAGGAGTGACGGCAATTAATATCTCTATTACATCCTCTTTTATGCTTCCTGCTTTCATGAATTTCTCTTTCAATTTTCATTGGTTCCATTTCATTTGTCTGTTGAGATGAGAGAGAGAAATTTTATTTTTGTTTTTAGTGTTTTAGTGTTCTGAATTTTAAAAATCTTCTGGTCATGGCACTGCTTTAAGTATTTGAAATGCTTTTCACACCTGACTTCACAATCAATTAATTCACATTGTTTATGGTTTTGTTTTTATTAAATGTTTTAATATGTTTAAGCCATATGAAAAGACATGCTACCAAAAGGGGCATTGCCTATATCCCTTATTTATGGCAAACACCTTTTTTATTGCTATTTTTGGAAAACAATTTATTGTTAAAAAAATTAATTCCCAAAGCATCAAGCAAACATCCTTTAGATGCTGTAATAAAGTTGAAATGCTTCCAGCCATTTTTAATCAACTAGAAAGTTATTACCTTAAAAACTATTTTTCACCCTGGAAATTAACTTAGACTAACTTTGCTGAATCTGTCTGTTTATGTCGATTAATGAGTCATATCTTATCTTTGTTTGCAGTGAATCAACATCAACTATAGAAGAGCTCCCTATTGTCAATACTATAGCAACAGCAATGGTAAGCATGAAAAAGGAGTTCCATGATGATCCATTTTTATTATGTGTGTGGGTCATGTTAAAAAATGAATATAAATAAATAAATAAAATAAATTGACTTTATTAATGAGAGTGGCATACATTACTGGTAGCCCAGTAGTTTCCATTATGGCCCTCCTACATTAATAAACTGAAATGAATGATCAAATAAACATAAAGTGAGTTAAGAAATACTGATGTTAGTAGTACCACATGCGATAAGACTAAATGAAATTTCCATTATTAATATGACAGGGAGGGCTGGGCATGCAAGATATTGATAAACTTAAAAAAAAAAATTAATCGGGTCTACTGAAAAATAAAATCTAAATATCCATCCAAACCTTAACTTTCTTATAAAACTTAAGAAAAAAGCGGCTCAGTAGGTGTAGTCTATATTTGTGGTTTATTTATATAGATTGTGCATCTTCTCCAAATGACTGCAATCTAAGCAAATACACACCTTATATGCACTTTAAATATATGTAATTTACAGCTTACTGTGTGTAAAATCTTTGTAGAAATTATTTTCTTTGAATCATAATTTTTTGGTTTTGACTCTATTTGATAAAATACCTGCTTTGAAATGTTAGCCTAAAATACAGGCTTCCAATTCATACACAATACACCATGATTTTCATGAATGTTTCTTACTAATGTTTCTTTGTATTTCTTATTCCAGGATCAAATTACTCAAATCAAGTCAGCATTATTAACAGTAGTTCATGAAGAAGTACAAACTTTAAAAGACACTATTACAAAACTAAAAGAAGAAAACCAAGATCTCAAGCAAGAAAATGAAAAATTAAAACAATTAATAGATACTACCCAAACTACATGACCACAAGAAAAGTAGAAGATCCTGAAACAACTAGCCTCACAAAACACCATAGGTCGCTACAACCAACAAGAAAATTTTTGGTAGATATCTACCAGTGATTGTTTAGTAAAGAAGCTATTTGCCACCTTGGTAAATGATGCACTATAATTTTTTTTAATGCAAAAAAAAAAAATTGTGAAAACTCCTGGCAGAGTCTTTGGTGTCTAGATCTGTGAAGATTTCTGATTGTGTAGCTAAGAAATGAAGAGTCATGTGGCCTTGTATGGACACAAGTAGCATCTGAATGTCCATCATGGCCCGTACTACAGCAATCACTACTATTGAATCATTAGCTGAAAGAAGATACAATAGTTGACAAAGCTAACTTAGAGTCTTTTAGTCAGATGAAGGACTTTAAAATTGTCTAATTGTCACTATGGAGCTACTTTAAGAAATTAATGGTTGAGTTCAGTAAAAAAAAAAAAAAAAAAATTCAGCTGTGAATGAAAACAATCTCTTGAAAATAGGATTATTAGTACTATGGTAGGTGATGCATACCAGTAATACTTAGGGCTGAATTAGGTAGCAAAGCCTTCAAATATGTCTTAGTAAGTCAGACAATATTCCTCCATCTTGCTGTCGTTTGCTTTCTCTTTGCATACAGAATCATTAGTAGTATCAACAATAATCTGACAGATGAAAAATGTACAATTCTTGCACTGAATTATTTGATGCAAGGTCAAGATGGATATTAGTCAGCTATTGGCTTGAAGAATAAAATTTGTAAAAGATATGATTTCACAGAAACATGCAGAGAAATGTGTAGTTCCAAAAATTATCCATACCCCCCTCACGGAGGAATTTTTCACACCCCTACCCCCCAGAAATTCCAATTTTCTTCCATACAAACTCTGTACTTTTTGTTCTTTCTCTGACCCCCCTACTCTTCAGAAATTCCAAATTCCTCTGTGGGGTGGGTATGGATGATTTCTGGAACTACACAATGTAAAATTATAAGCTTATATTTTGGAGTGTCTAGTTATTATCTTACTGACCTCATCGAGAAAAATAAATATTTCAAGCCTTTAAAAACTAAAATCTTCCAGTTTAAGAAATTAACATGTGCACCACTGTTCAATATTTTGAACTGTGTCAGAGTTTGAAGCAAATATGAAAGAATTCAAACAAACTTCCATCACTGATTTATAGAGTGCATACCATATATCGGTAAAAATAAAATTGTAAGAAACTGCACGAACTAGTAAGTTCAGTAGACCTACAAAACTTTGCACTAATTTGTATGATTTTGTTAGTTAACTTTTTCATGGATATATGATTTGCACTCTACTTGATTCAAAACAGAAGTTATCCAGATTGTGTAGTTCCAGAAATTATCCAAACCCCTTTCTCTATTCCCAGAAATTCCAATTTTCTTCCATACAAACTCTGTAATTTTGTTCTTTCTCTGACCCCCACAACCCTAGCTCATGGAATTCAGTTGGAGGTATGGATAATTTCCGACCTATCAAAAGAATATCTAGTACTTGTACATTAGTGAAGATAATACAAATATTAATTATGGTATTATTTTGAGTTCTGCAAGAACCATGTATTATAATTATTATACTTCGAAGTATTTTTCCTTAGAACATGTTGTTTATGAAGTAGACTTATGACGATTCAGATTTCATCAAGAAAAAAATGATTTAAAACCATTCAGAACATTAAACTTGCTGTTGTTAATTGAATATTAACAATGGCTTCAAGTATACATGGTCAGTTGTTGCATACTCGATGAGCGTTAGCCTGTGCATTCCATCTCTTAAAGTTGGGATGCATGGAGCAACATGCATATGATGTTGAGTTTGAGGGTTTTGTATAAATGGGAAACCTGTGGTACGGAATTTTTATGAGATACAAAGTAACAGCAAGGGTTCCGGACTTGGTGGGTAGGGGCAAGGGATGATCCAAGGGGGTGGATCTGGTGGCTAGGTACCCCCCTTGAAGTTTGAAAATAAGAATAAAAATAAGGCAACATCTGAAAAGAGAACTATATAATGCCTTTCTAGGTTACAGTTACCCCCTTTTAAGAATAATGTTAAAACATTATTCTGGATGCACTGCTGGGGGTAGTAGTGCATGTGTTTTGGCTCTAAACTAAATTTTGGCTAAACAAGTGATCAATTTAAAAATTCTTTTCAAAATGTGTGTTGTATTATGGGGAAACCTGTGGTACTGATGTTTTTGGCTTGTAATCCATGAGAGGTATAGAGGCTTTGCACCATCACATGGTGGCAGCCATGACAGGAGTCGGGAACAATATTGAATCTGGCTAAAGAAGGAAAAAGACTATTGTTGTACCTCCTGTCATGGCTGCCATCATGTGATGGTGCAAAGCCTCCTACGGCAGGGGTTCTGTGCATTTTGGCTCTAAATGTCTGACAAATCCAGCTTTTCTATTGATGTTTGGATAGTCCACCATATACAACCGTTTAGTCACACAGAACTTTCAGTTGTCCTGATATGGAACAAAGTAGGGTCCTTGTGCATGCACCACCAACTGCTATGGATTGTATTCTTTGTTACCATTGTTCTTTTATAACTTGGGGTCTTGTTCAGTTTCTATTGAATTACAAATAATATTGTCTGGTACCCAAAGAAGGAGCCAGAAAATAGAATTTTCGTTGTGCATTTCTGTGTTCCAAAAGTGTTAAAAAACCGATTATACTCCCTACCACTATGTTCTGAGATGAAAATGAATTTGAGAGGAGAGGGGCTACTGCTCTCAACATCACTGCATACAATCAGAAGTTTAAATAAATTATATTCACCATTTTCCATACATTGGTTCACTGGTCAAACACGAAGCATTTAGTTGAGGTTTGCAAGGTTTAAATTTGAATAATCCTTTGAAAGTACCTTGGCACCCTGCTTGAGCACATTGTGTTTGACCAGTGAACCCATATATGGAAAATGGTGAATTGGCTGTTAGGCTATCAGGTAAATAGAAAAGAGATCTCACTTTTTTGCAAAGCAATTTGTGCCATTTCTTTGTTATTTTACTAAGCCTTGCATCCCAGATATTTTGAACTCAAAAGATCAAAGCTGCTCAAGTTTATGTCCAATGGCCAGTCTATAAACTACCAATAGTCTATGTTAGAAGTTTCACGTTTATTGAAAGAAAAAGAAACTAGCAATTTCATTTGCCTTTTATTTACAAGGCATTCAATAAGCTGTAAGTTTGGTTATCCATTTACTTGTTGTTGCTGATATATATGTTTTGGTTGACAATAAAATGTGGCCATTTCTTGCCAATAAATTGTGATTTTTCCATTTTACAAAAACAGTCAGGCATGCTAGGATTAAACAGCTTTTATATTGTTCAATGCAAGGTGGTGCCAGCTTTAAAATGAAATGCATGTACATTCACAACTGCCTTGGTAGATCATACCCTGGGTTTCTAAGGCTCTCATGATAACCAATCAGTCAACTGAGAAGCACCGAAGTGAGAGAGCCTCTGAAACACAGGGTAGATAAATCACAGCTAAGGCTCGTTTGAAAGTAGGAACACCTAAGGTTGGAAGAAGATGCCTCAAAAATAGGAAGCAGCTTCTTTGTTAGTCATTTTTGAAAAAAATGTATGTCTTTTTGGATATGCACGATACAATATTATTTTCAAAAAGGGTTCAAGTGCATGATTCATGTCATACAATATCTTCCACAATAAAATCCAGAACCCTTACCTCCCCATCAATTGACCCACAAGTATCACTTCAAAGTCAAGTCACCAAAACATGTCTAATTTCATGTCCTGGTCATGCAGTCATACCACAATTTTAGTGCGTTATCAAAATCAAGTGTCTAATAATTATAGACAATAAGTCTTTCAAGAAGAAAAAATTTCCAGGCTTCAATATTCAAAATCCCCCTAACAAATAATAATTTAAAATAAAAGCCAATGATATCTTTAGTTAAATATTTAGTCGCTTTTATTCACACAAAATATTTTTTCGTCTTCTATACTATCAAGGACTTTACTTACTTATAATACAAAGACAATGGTTAACCGAAATCTAAGAAGTATTAATATTACTCAATACATCACATGGAACATTCGAACCAGGTTTACAAGAATTTCACAGATATAAACCAGCTCATCTAAACGAGGAAAACATGATACAACAAACGCATGTATATAGACGAAAAGTCATTGACTAGCGAGAAGAGAAATAGAGAAAGTTCTGTTAAGATAATTTGTATAATTTATATTGTCGTCATGTCTTATATGTTGTTGTCGTCGCGGTTGTAGTTGAATTCTTGGTTTTAAAAAATCCACGTTTATGCCATTCTAATGCTCTGGATAATCTGGAATATCGCTGTTGGGAAAAAAGGAAAAAGGTAACCAAAAAAAGAAAAAAAAGGAGAGAGATCGAAAGAGAGGCAGTCTAGGTGAAGAATGTTTATCAATACGTAGACACGTAGTTGAATTTAGCTTGGATCAGTTCATGTTCGTTTGAAAAGAATAAAAATCCACTTTATACCAACCTGATCCACAGACGACAAAGATAAACAACCCCAAAAGGATTGGTCCAACAGCATATTTCTCTTCTTGTGCTTTCTTTAAAATTAAAATATATAGAAACTTAAATTGATACTACAAAAAGTCGAGAAGTGGTCGCTCTTCGACGACGCCATTTTTATTTCGTACACCAGATCGCAATCAACTCGTGAATAAATTACTCACTTACCAAAGTTTTAGGAACGTTTCCTCTGGTATTTACGTTCTGGCTGTGTTTATTGTTAGCAAGGCGCATTCTTTGTTTAGCAGGCATGTTTTTTAACGGTATAAAATGGATGAAAAAGCGACCTTAATTTTTCTTTCGTCTTCACCACAACAAGTCAAGTTTACGAAGGAAGTACATTTACTAGTTGTGACGTAATAGAACTTCTTGATGCTCTCTGATTGGACAGCCTTTAACACGTGATTAACAGTTGAATAAATATTTAGTGACTTTTCTAAGGGAATAAAAATGTCTAACGACTTCCAATTAATACGAAAACTACAAATGAACCCTCTGGTGAAAGTCCTTATCTATGCAGACATTTTTCATTTCGAAATTTCCAGCGTTTTGGGGGAAATTTTAGATTCGTATCCGAGTAACATTTTACTTCCGGTAGTTCTATGCTACGCCACGCAATCTGATTGGCTGATGCAAAACATGATTGATTTTATTGCGTTGCGCCACAGGAAACCCGTATCCAAGATACAAATTTCTTCTCTCTCTAGACAAGCATTGAATTTTCTAATATAAGGGGAATCAAGTGGAAATTCTGGAAGATGAGAACAAAATAATAGATATTCCTAATATTCTCACCTAAGGTTGGTTGAGGGGTAAATTGTGGTTACAAAAATCAAAATGTAATGGTCTGCCAGCCAAGCAGAAAAGAATATCCCAGATTACATCAAAGAATCCATGAGAAAATATATACATCTATTTGCCTATCATTTTTTATTCCTTATTATGTAATGATACAAATTTGTTGGCACACCCATACCATACCATTAAAAATACCTTAGAATATTGCATACCGTATCATATCATTTTTGCCATCTTCCCCCAAACTTCCATACTTCTTTCTATACATGTACAAAAATCATTATCAACAAACTCATTTAATTGTTCTAAAACGTTTTTTATCCAATTACTGTGGGTCACAGTATGCTTGAAACATAACTAACTCCTCTTTTTCAAATTCTAGTGACACTTGTGAACTAGCTGGGATGAATATAACATTGCCCCGCCCAAGTCCCATGGCATCCCCTGAGGATTTCAAGGTGGCTGATCCAGATATGACAATCAGAATGCTTGGACCATTCAATGGTTTCATTTTGTAGGTAGACACAGTATTGCTAAATGGTACCTGCAGACAAGAACAGATGATAAAGGTTTCCGTAAATATAAGCTTAAATTTGAGTTGTATATTGAGGGTATGGAAGCACAATATAATCATATAATGCCATCTATAGAATAAACATGGTTGTCTTGTGAAAAAGGTCCATTGCACTACAAATATTATAAAATTATTAATCTAATATTTTACTGCATCCTATTGGTGGATTTAGGAGGAGCCAATGGGGCCAGCCCCTTTTAGTTAGTGTTGTTTTTTACCTTTTTACTCAAAATATCCCAGAATGCAGGAAATAGCATTCCTGAAAACAATTTTTAAGAATCTCCTTGGGAGCATGCCCTTAGACCTCCTCTTGTCAAATTCTACCCTTGGACCCACCTGTATTTTCATTACTGAGAAGTCTTTGACTGGAGGATCATAAACTGTTATACATGGATCACTAGGATCTTTATGAGGCTGGAAGATGTTATCACTGGCCGTACTAGGTTTGTATTCTAACATTTCACATAGAGTTTCAACATCTTTGTACTTTGGTGTCAAGCCAGCTCTGACAACGTTGTCACTACATGCCATACATTCCATGCAATCTGAAATCATAATGTAATAATGTCCATTAGTGTCATTATGATGACAAATGACATAGTGGAAGTTGTTGATATCTACTGCACCATTAATGCTGGAATTTGTGAACTTTCTAGACCATAACTAGCTGGTAACTCCCTCCTGAAAAAAATACCAGATCCATCCCTGTGGTAGATTTTGGACAAATTTTACAAAACCAATAATATATGGGAAAAAAAACATAAAGCTACATACCCCCTGAGAGGTAAGCATGTGGTAAATTTGGACCAAGAAACATAGCCTCTCCTGGTTGTAGAACAACATGGTTTAAGAAATATGCACAGAAACAGCCTACGTCTCCTGGGAACTGGCTGTTAAGCCTCGTGATAAGGTCCCCAAGATATAGGGATGAATCTTGCCCTTTCTCTTTCATAGCCTTTATTTTGGACACTAGACTGTCTAGATGTTTCTTAACAGAATCTGATGGGGTTGTCATGAGAGCAGTAAAACACTTCTTTAGGCCAACCTTGGCTTGTGCATCATCTGAAAAAAAAATTATCATTTTGTCTCAGTGGTATTTTACTTGAAAGCTAGAAACATAGGTCTTGAGTGAATCCAAGAAGAGGAAATTAAATATTTCAGGAAAGAAAGTAATTCATTTTCAAGAATGAAAAAAATCTCTTGGTGGAAGATTAACTTTACCAGAACTTTGAATAAGTGATGTCGCAGCATCCCCTATAATAGCAGCAAACTCAGCAACATTTTCAAGATATTCTTTTACTTCAGATGTTGGTCTAAAACCACAGAGACCTTCATATTCTGTAATAGCTTTAAAAGAAAATATATAAAAATCAGTAATAATATCTAGATATTAATTTTTAAAAAATTGATGTCAGTATATGCATCAGTAAATCATTGATTTTTCATGCATCACTAACATAGTTGTTGATAATGGTCAAACATGTGGATAATTGGGTAGTCAGTCAATGGTTGTCATCTGTGGGTGATGGGGCTGTGACTAGAGGGTGGCTGGTGAAAATTGTTAGCAGGTGGCTGGTTCTTGGTCAATGGATGCCTGGTCAGTGTACTAATTTATTGTTGGTCATTAGCCAGTAAGTGTTTGGGCAGTGGTTAGTCTGCAGGGCCTACTAGTAATTGTCCAAAGGCAGAGAGCAATGGATAAATCCTTATCCAGTGGATAAGTCGATACTGTTATCCAATAAATTTATCCACTGCATAAATAAGATTTATCCATTGGATAGCAGTATCAACCATTCATACAACCGGGCCCAGATCAGAAGTCAGTGTGTTGTAGGTAGTAATTAGTGTTAGTGAGAGTGACCCGTGGTGGTATAACATATCAATAATAATATAAAAATATATTAACATATACCTATAGCCATTTCTGGTTTGTGGTTAGGGTCCTTATAAACATCAGGTCTTGAAGCATGAAGCTTCTCAGCATGTTCTTTATTTGGATGAGCTTGGATAGATAATGCTTTATTGACAGACAGCACCTTGAATAAAAAAGGCAGTTTGCCTCCAAATATTTCAGATACTTTACTTCCCAGGCATCCATCATGGCTATTGATCCACTCCAAAAGGCTTTGTGCTTCTGAGGAATGAGAGTCAAGTACTTGAGAAGGACCATTTGGATGAGTTCCCATCCAGAGCTGAAAAACAAAGTGATAATAGATTTGACCTACCAAAAGAGTGAGTATATTGTATCTTTCAACATGACAATGAAACTTTTAAAGATCTATTAAATTAATCAAACATACTAACCAAACAACAGCTGTTCAGCTGTTTAAATAATTCATGGATTGAAATGTTTAGGGTGATTGGGATTATTAGAGACATTTGAGGATGGATCATGAACACTAGAAAATCCAAAGAAAACCCTCGAATCAAAGTGAGAGACCAAACAAACTTTACTAACCTCTGCATATGGCTTGTCTTTTTGAAGTTGAAAAGAAGAATCGCTTTGAGCAAACTGTGCGACAGCACTCCTTTCACCAATCTTGCCCCATTCATACATCTGGTATGCACACTTGAGCTTAACAGGGCCTAAAAAAGTACATTATGCATTCATAATAATAACAACTTCATTTATAAAAAAAAAATTGGATGGAAAACCAACTAATCTATTGATCCCCCCCCCCCCTCCCCAAGGAGGAATTTGGAATTCACAAGGGGTGGGGGTCAGAGAAGGAATGGTGGGAGGGGGGAGCATCTTTACAAATCTTCTGTGGTTGAGGGTCAGGGTATGGGCAATTTCTGGAAATATATATAAACATTAGGAAATATCCAAATCATGCAAAAGCAAGCAAAAAAGCAACAAGTATCTTCATTACCAATTACATATTTTTTATATGTATGTATATCAAATTATGCTTTACAACAGTATCATTTAGTCAGGGTAGGGCCGAGGTCGGATAATATAAGAGACTAGTATAAACAAGAAAAAAGTGGAGGGGGTGGCATACCTCCTGAAATAATAGTTTTTTTTAATACCCTCAGTATCAATATGCAATTTTGATTCACTATAATGATGCCAAACAAGAGACCCATAATTATACTCATTACAAAGAAAATAAAAAGCCGATATTTAATTAAAAAGAATTCTTTCAAAAATGTCAATTCATTCCATGACAACTCCCTAATCTTTCTTCCTTAGTACTGGTTTTATACGATAATAATAAAAAGGTAAAAAAGCACAAAGAGAGGGCTATAACTGAAGCTAAAAATTATATAAGCAACAATGATTAGAAAATGAAGATCTAAGTATGCTTGAGTTTATTCCTTTTATAAACTGGTCTTGGCAAAGTAAGCAACTTGTCAAAACAAGAGTAAAAGGTCTTGTACAGAATATATTTTAAAGATCAGTAAAAATTGAAGTGTTTAGATTAAAGAGTTGATGATAAGGAGTCTCTAGGTAAATGAATGAAGAAATCAGAGCAATGATCAATGTTAAATTCTCACCTGGATTTGATCCCATTCTGGACTTTACTTTCCACGTATGAAAATGGGAATAAATTACTGAGAGAATCCGCTGGTTCATTAGTCTTACACACAACATATCTACTTTCACTAGGGGAGGGGTAACGTTCTCATTTTCCCTCTTACAAATTTCTTCCTTTTTCTATTTTTTATCAATAACATCAATTTAAAATATAAAATATATTCTATGTTAAAAAGGTTAATGTATGATTATTATTATAAACAATGAATTTCTTTTGTATGTATTTGCGAAAGATAGTTTATTACCTGCTGGTACCTCCCATCGTAGAGTTTTTGTCGCTCACATTGAGATTTTCAAAATGGCCGACGACGTCCCTTCAAGAGATGTCTTGATAGCAGCTCATTTTAAAGGTAAACGTCTAAAATTCTCACTCCTACTCTAGTATAACGATAATTAGTTAACGTTTCCTAATTCATCTGTTGTTGATAATTTTAGTAAAGACTCCAAAATTTAAGATTTAACTTAAGCTGAAGTTGAATAAATATGAAAGAAATAAACATTAAGCTTGAAAACGTTTAGTCTTATTCAAATATGATTCCTTGAAGCTCTTTTCTCAGTAGAAATTGTAATGTTTGAAGATAATTGTTTTTATTTTACAGGTTTTTTATTGTAATTGCGAGAAATACAGTCATGTTGCCTTCACTTGCAAACATAACAGACCAGTCAACTCTCAAGAGTCTACTGAACCAGCTTCTACTCTCTGGAATGTCTATACCCCATGAAAACCAGAGCATTGACTACAGAAGACTGCAGGAGGAGCTCCTAAGAAGTAGTCAAGATACAAGGGGTTCTGATGGAGCAGGGAGTGGTGGGTTTGCATATCGAGATTCAAGAGATATGAATAGTCAGTATGGCAGAGAAAAGTATGGTTTGAATCAGAAGAGAGATTACCAGGATGATAGAAGTGATAGAAGTGATCAAGACAGGTCTAATTTCTTTGGGGGTGCTCTTGAAAGAAAGGAAACCATTGATTACACAGACAGATGGCAGCAGCAGTCAGCAGACTTTGATAAGGAATGGGAGAACAGAAGACAGGAAATGATGGGAATAAGAGATGGAATTAGAAAAACAAGACCAGATGATCTTAACAGGGATAGGGATGTAAGAGGTTCTTCATTTTTCAACACGTCTCTAGCCCCAACTAATATCCTGTCAAACTTACAGTTACCGATCACTTTGGGATCAAATCAAGAAAGTAACCATGGCAACATGGGGTCAGATCTGTGGCCTGTGTCCAGTGAACAATTATCTATGGGTTACATGTATGGAATGAAGAATAATGTCTTAGGATTAGACTCTACCAGCACACGACCAGTCATCAGTGCTTTTGACCCACCCCTTCCAAACGCACCTAAACCTAACACGTCAGAAAAGCCTGAAGGCTGTCATACTATATTTATTGGTGGGTTACCTGAATCAGTTACAGAAGAAATCATCACAGAAATATTCTCCATGTGTGGCACGATACAATCAATAAGAATTTCACCAGGAAAATTAGGAAAGAATTTCTGTCATGTGAGATTTATGGATCCACATTCAGTAGATATGGCATTAGGCTATTCTGGTTATAGACTAGTCATAACTAGCGAAGGCCAAATGTCTGGTGGGCGCATCCATGTTGATTATGCTAAATCAAGAGAGGATGAGAAAGAGTATGAAAGAATTTTGAGAGCAAAAGCCAGGGAAGTGCGACACCAATCTGAAATGGAAGAAAAACGGGTGATATTCTCAGAACGGTCAGCTGCTGATCTTATGAAGAGTATCCGATCAGATTCTGGATTCTTTGAATCTTTTTCAACCCTGATCCAGTGGCTGGAGAGAGGTGAATGCACCAGAAAGAATTCCTCAACATTTTATAACCTTCTTAGTTCAGTTCATAGTCATGTGAGAAGACTTATCCGAGAAAAGAGGGAACATGAGGAGACTGTAGAGAGACAAAAGCAAGAACAGCTAGAGAGAGTAAAGCTGATTATGAGCCAAGGTAATAGCATGCATATGGGACAGAGTTGAATTTAAGTTTCCCTGCTGGACACCAACACACTAACACACCAACACACTAACACACCAACATACTAACACACCAACACACCACCCTGCACACATCATGAAGCAATAATTATTATCTTTATGCACATGTAACTACGAGGAACCCCCCCGATATTCTCACTAGACTTCAACAAAAGAAAATTTGAGTAAAAGTCTGCTGATGCTGTCTTATGTTTTGTTTGGTGGTATGAAAAAGGTGCATCTATCTTGAAAGTATTCAATGCTGCATCCAAGAAAAAGTGCTGGGATCATTTCAGCAAGGCTCAAAGACGAAACATAACGGACTGGCACCAACAAGTAGACAAGGTAATGATAAATACCACTATAATCTGGAGTATGAATTGTGAGAGAATCATTGAGGTTTATTTAATGTTATTAATTTAAAATGTGTATCGTATTGAAAAAGACGGTGGCCAGCCTTTGTAAGTTTGTGGTATTCCAGAAAATTTATAAATTCAAATGAAACAACCTCTGAAAAAGATGCCCAACTTCACTGACACTTTGGGCTTTGAGTGCTTCACTGGAGCAAATGAGTATAAAAAGGATGAAGTTATTCAATAAGTAAAATTTAATGTTGGTTGTCGATGACTTAAGAAAATCAGTGGTGATGGTCTTTCTTGGTTGGCTATATTGATGTATTCATGCTCCACTAGATTAGCCAAGAATATGAAATTTGAGTTTCGTAGAAAGGATGAGAGAAAAGGATAATGTTCTGCTCCTCTAAATGTATGTGTCAGAGTGTTCAAAGCTAAGGGATTGAGATGTGTATTGGTTTTTTATTCTATAATTTTTATTGGTTGGGATACATCAGGTAGGTGAACTGACATGTGTTTGTCAAATATATGCGCTCTCGTAGTGGCGAGTTCTCTCTCAAATCCATTGAATAAGGAGTTTTTTAAAACCAATCTGTTCGCCACCTATACCTTCCTGAAAGTATTTCCTGTCCAACCTGTCATGGAGTTTGTTCGGTGTCTCACAGGAAATTAAAATAAGTACGGAAGAACAGATGGAAAATCGTGTCGAGGTAGGTATGGACATAGATGATGAAGTTGGCCACATTCAAAGTACATCAGAATACAGCCAGCCAGAAGAGGAGAATTCTGGTGAACCAGTTGCCAAGCAAGCAAAACTTGAAGGTAATGTTTGTAGACCTAAAATCAGATTGAATTCTTTTAGAGCAATCTATTTTTTGGACATTACACCCATTTTCATAAATTCATTTTGGGTTCCACCAATCAAAAAAAAACATTGCTCAAGACTGTTGGAAATTTGATTGATGGACTGACAAAAACCTAGACATCTTGAATTATGCTAAGTTGTTAGGGTCTTGAAATCATGAAAGAGGGTGTCTTAATTTCATTTTCTAACACGGTTCTTCATGGGTTTTGCTCTGAAAGAGTCATAAACAAGGAAAAACCTCTCAGTAAAAAGCACTAAACCTTAAAGTTGTCGACGGTATCTTGGTTAGAAATTCTACCATAGGGTTCGTATTAAGTTACAACAGTTTTTATTTCCACAAAAAAAAAAAACATACATAAATTGAATAAGTTATGAATATTGTGGGGGATGCAAGAGAACAACCTCAGAAGTTAAACAAGCTCTTACACCCTTAAGATGAAAGCGAGTAATATTTACATATGTGTAAGATGGAAGGAATCATATAGTACAGTAGTTTTCATAGTTGAACAACTAGAAATTTAATGAAATAAAATAAACGTACAGGGAAAAAATCAGGGTTCTTGTGAGGTAGACATCAGACTGGTAAGACTAACTGTGGTTAAAACATCACAATGCAAGGAAAAGGTAATTTGTTTTTATAAGAATATTATAATTTTATAATGCTAATAGTTTGTCACTTCTAACAGTGCTGCTTAGGGTGTCTGCGGGTCATACTGGTATAGCTGTTAAGGTTCTCACATTCAGTTTCCTATTCATTCTATCATTTCCAATTTTTTTGATCTAATTAATTTTTCGTTTCATTCGTACAGAACTCTCAGCTTCAGAATCCGAAAAGACACAATCAGAAGCAAGTCAAGAAGCAGTCAAAGGGGTTAACCAGACCTCCCTTGATGCCACAGCTCAAGCAGCTCTCAAAGCTAAAGACATAAAGTATAGAGCTCAAGCTGCTGGCCTTAAGGCATTGGCTGAAAAGAACACATCTTTGATGTGGCAGGTTGAAGGATATAAGAACGAAATACTTTTACTAAAGCAAAAGTTTGCAAGTGTCTTTCAAGAGAAGGACCTTCAGGTGAGAAAATATCTCTCCTCTGCTTCCTCTGCTCCCCTCTCCTCTCTTCTGCTTTGCTCTTTCCTTTCCTTTGCTCTGCTCTGCTCT